GGAGATAGATTTGATATTTATAATCTAAGTAGATCCAATATTTGTAATTCTGATTGTGGTAATTCTAATATTTGTAATTCAGATTATCGTAATTCAGCGTAATTCAACAGGAGAAACAGTCCAAATATAGATATGATTTTCATTCTCTGTTACGCAGATCACTCATTGTATCGACCAGTCAAAATATCACTACGGGATTAGTCAACCAATCAAATTGCGAAATTTACAGACGAAACCATGGGATTCAAGAGAATTCAAAAAAATATGTTGTAAAGAAAGTACCCTAGCCTTGGCGAAAACGAGGTGTCGTGTCATGTGATCTTCGACCATTCCGACCCGACACCTGCCCGGCATTCCCTACAGCCAATCAAAATTATATATTGATAAGAACACGCGGACCGTGAATTCGCTGCATGTAAACTTTTCTTCTATTATATAATTTTTTATGCCAAGTTAGATGCGTGCTATAGCATTTACATGTTCAAAATTTAATAAAACCTATAATCAATTTTTCAACGAGCTATAACCTAGATCGAATTATTATATATTGAACTAGAATAAAATCACTTCTTATTTCAAGTTATTTCACATAGTAATTTAATAAATTAAATATATAGAATTTATTTAATATTCATTCTGACAAATATATTAAATCAAACATCGTTAGCTCTAGAATTTTAGCATCAAGATTATGTTATATACAGAGAAACCTCTCTAAACACCTATCAGTGCATTCTCTATATGAAATTTTTTTACACTATAATCCGGTTCCAGATTATAATAGCATTATATCTTTTGTTTTCTATAAATGCATACCTCATTAAGTACACAGTCTTGAAATTTTTTGCTATGATTCCCGGGGTGCACTTAAAAGGGTTCTCTGTTCAAAAACAGTAAAGCTCACAAAATTGAAATTAGAATTAATACCTACATTAATTGAATTCGAATTGAATAAAGAATTGCACTAATATTGACTTCAACCAACTGCCATGTAGATCTTTACCAAATAATGATCTAATAAGCCATGATGTATGTGATTGTGATTGAACTGAAATTGAGTGAAACATGCATAATCAAAAGACAAATGTATAACCAAATTAAAAATAGTCTATGATTGAAAAGCCCAAGTTTCAGAGTGGCGGAATGAAGTAACGAATTGGAGGTTTTTTGCTGATTGAAAAGCCCAGGTTTCAGTGTACATCTATATCCCAGATTCTAATGCTTTTCAATATCTTTAATACAGATATTGTTATCAGAAATAATTTCATCTGTAATATAACCAATGAATTTACTAGTATGGAACGTACTAATTTCCATATCCTTAAAACTGTTATTATTTTCGATCACCATTTCTTTATCAGATTTTAAAAATTCAGACAAAATTTCAGTACTATTTTTCCATTTTAAAATAGTTTCATAAATTTCAATAGCTGACGGTCGGTTTTCTGGATCTTTATCCCAGCATTCCTTTAAAAGATTTACATAACATGGCGCTGTACCTTTAAGAATAATTGGTCTCGAACCTTCACAGATTTCTATTGTTAATCTTAAATTATCATCTTTATATTCAGAAAATACAACATTTCCTGAAGAAATCTCCCACATAATCATTCCAAAAGAATAAACATCTGATGCTTTGGTAAATGATTTTCCTTGCAAAACTTCAGGTGCTATATATGGTAAAGCTCCATAAATTCCTTCTGATTCTTTATCTAATGATTTATTAATTGACGTTGCAAAACCTAAATCACCAATATAAGCATTATATAAATCATTTTGAAATATATTGCCACTATGTAAATCACAATGAATAATATTATTAGAATGAATTAATTGAAGATCGAATGAAATATAAGATAATAATTCTAATTTTTTTTCCCATTTCATTTGTGCAACTTTGTAAAGATTTTTACGTAAAGATCCCATTTCTGCATATTGCATAACTAAAATATAATCGTCAGTGCCTTCATCTTTTGATATTCCATGGCATTGCAAAAATGTGGGGTTTTTAGTTCCAATATTTGAATATGCAATTAACTTTAAAATTATAAATATTAATAACTGAACAGAATATAACTAAATTTATAAACTTCGAATTATCAGGAATTTACCTCTTTTATAAGTTCTTCACAGCTATTTTTTGATCCATGAAACAATTTAAGTGCAACAATTTGATTTAAAGTACCAATACCTGTGATCATGCGTTTCCAATTAGCAGCATATACGGTTGCAAACCCGCCTTTTCCAATTTTTTCTCTAAACTCTAATTCATTAAATGGAATCCATGATATTAACAAATTATTGCCAGATAATGATTTATTTAAAGAATTATCAAAATTTTCACAATTAACTGCCCTTTGAAAATTGTTACTTTTCGCTTTTTGTAGCCATTCAATAGCTTTTTGTTGATTAGGTGATGTTCCATAGCCATTTCGATAGCATAATCCAAGTGCATATTGTCCACTGTAATAGCTATTTTCAGCTGATCTTAAATACCATTCAAACGCTTTTTTTTCATCCTCTATAGTGCCTCTGCCATACTGATAAGACAATGCAAGATTATATTGTGCAGTGGAATTGCCACCTTCAGCAGATTTCAAATACCACTCAAATGCCTTTTTTTCATCCTTAACTGTGCCTATACCATTTTCGTAGCACCTTCCAAGATTGGATTGTCCATTCGAATTTCCACCTTCAGCAGATTTAAAATACCAATCAAATGCCTTTTTTTCATCCTTAACTGTGCCTATACCATTTTCGTAGCAGAT